AAAGCAACAACAACAACATCACTGCCCCCCTGGCCGGTCCGGAAGAGAGCCTCAAGTGGCGCATTTGAGGTTCTTTCTTCCATGCCGGTGGGGATCACGAAAGCGGTGGATAGCACCAGCGACGCATCGTCTGCTTCTGTACACTTCAAAAGAAAGAAAGCCCGGAAAATTGTTGTACCGGGTCATCGCCTTGTAACTCGTAGTGTTTCGAGTTTTGATAATGAAGAGCATGTTAGTTTGAGTTATTCAAGGCCTGATAAAACCTTGCGTAGCACTTCTACATCCTCCGAAAATGAAATTTCTAAATCAAATCCTCGTGAGCCGCCTGAAACCCAGGTGGAGCAGGTTCTTGCCACAAACGAGACCTGCTCAGCCGAGGAAAGGCTAGCTCAACTCACAGCTGCATTACAACAAAAGGAAGACGAGTTAGCTGCCCTCCGCACCCAGATGGCAAATGGCACTAGCCAGAGGGATGGAGGTCAAACTTCCGCTAGTCAGAACAGCCATCAAAACATGGCGACTGGCATCAGCCTTGAAGCAATTCAACGGATGATCAATGACGGAATTAAGGCTCAGTATATGCAAACACACTACTCCATGCGTCCAGGATACGTCAAACCGTATCCGCCGGACGTTGACCTTGTCCCTTTTCCGAACAACTACCGCCAGCCGCAATTCAGCAAGTTCAACGGGATAGGATCACCTCATGAGCATGTAGCCCATTTCCTCGCAGCATGCCAAGATACGGCCAACAATGGAGCGTTGTTGCTCCGGCAATTTGTGCAAACATTGTCAGGGCCGGCGTTCACTTGGTACAGTAAATTAGCACCAGGCTCAATTCGGACTTGGGAACAAATGCAAGATTCTTTTCTTGAGCACTTCTACAGCACACAAAGGACTGTGGGCATTACAGAGTTAACTCAAACTGAACAAAGGGCGAATGAGAAGGCAGCTGACTTCATAAATAGATGGAGAAATCTCAGTTTACACTGCCCTCAGCCCATTACGGAACATGAGGCCGTGCGTATGTGCATGAATAATCTGAACCCTGAGATGGCTGTTTATTTGCAGGGTGTACGGCCTGTAACTTTTGAGGAATTGGCATCTAAAGCTACAGATATAGAGAACTACACACAGTTCGTGGCTCGTCGCTCAAAACCATACTCGAGGCCGGTCGAGAAGAGCAACCCACGAGACAAGGCAACATTCAAGCCCAAACAGGCTCAAGCCATGGAGGCAACGGCAGTAATCCCATCATTGCAAGCAGGCGGGGCTGCTTCAAGAAACAACGAACAGAAAAGTGCACCAGTCGGTAGGAGGCCAACTCTTACCGAGCGACAAAATAGAGAATATTCCTTCCCTGCAGAAGAGGTTCATGATCTCTTTACAGGCCTACGGGAGTTAAATCTTATAGCGCTTCCTAAATCAAAAAGGCCAGAAGAAGCTACCAAGTTTAACGAACCAAACTTCTGCCATTATCATCGCATCTTGGGCCATACGCTAAAAGATTGCTTTGTGGTGAAGAATGTTATTCAAAAGTTGATAGATGATGGGGTAATTTATGCGGATCTCCTCAAAAGTTTGAAGATGGGCAAGAAAATGGCAGCTAATATTGCCACTGTCCAGGAGGATCCGGTGAGTTGCACATCTTCAAATATAGCTCTGACTTATGATCAACAAATGCTGATACCAAAGTCTGAGTTCGCTCCTATGCTTTTCCCAGGGTATGCACCATTCCACGGTGAACAACAAGAACGTCGAAATCAGCCTAAAAGAGAAGCTTATGATCGATGGATACACTCCACCAGACCCACCCTGCCTACTCGCCAAAGATCCCAAGAGCGAGGACAGCAGCGGAAAAGAAGAAGCGCACTCCAGCGATTGACGGTCAATGGAGAGCCTCTACTCTTCGCGCCAGCAATCTATCAAAGGGATGCAAGGTGTAGGGGCGGTGCTTATGAAGATTTCAACGTACTTGCGATTGAAATCTTTGAAGAAGACGATGGATCACTCTACTTCCCCGATGATGAACCACCGGAAGTTGATCAAATCCAGCTTAGGTCGGGCCGTCAGATAGCTGATGTATGCCCTCCCGCTAATCCTAAAAGTCCTAGAAGCAAGGATGTAGCTTCAGATGAAATGACTGACCCCTCTCCCAACGTGTCGGTCAAATATGATGTAATCTCTCATTTGAAGAAATACCAGCCATGCTTTCAATGTATGATGCTCTGTGTATGTCTTCTGATTTGCGTAAAGCTTTTGTTACTGCACTTTCTTTTCCTGAAGATTATAGAGTGGAGGTATCTCAAACAGAAGCAGAGCTAGCTGAAGTGTTAAGTATGACATTTACAGAGGAAGATCTATTACTTGGAAATAAGAAACATAACCGGCCGCTACTCATGTATGGTGAAATAGATGATTTACCTACAAATCGAATCATGGTGGATGATGGATCCGCTATAAATTTACTACCCTTGCGTACTCTCAAAAAGATCGGTTACTCAAGGAGGGACCTAAACCGGTCAAATGTAGTCATTCACGGCTTCAACCAAGCAGGCCAAGAAGCCTTGGGCACTATATCATTGGTCCTAAAACTGGAACCATTGTCCACCTATGTGACCTTCCATATAATTGATGCCGCTACTTCATATAACGCGTTACTTGGGCGCCCATGGCTGCACGAGAACCAAGTAGTGCCATCTACTCTACATCAGTGCATCAAATACAAGGATAAATCAGGAGAAATTATGAGGATTTTCGCCGATGAAAGGCCATTCACGGTGGCTGAATCCTTTTACGCGGATGCTAAATTCTACGTTGAGCCTGTCGAAAAGATACAGAAACCAAAAGCAAAGTCGCTAACAGAACATTTCGTCACAAATGGAAGTTCTGGTGAATCGTCTTCAGACCGGAAAATATACCAATATATACCAAGCAACTGGAGAAAGAAGGGTGAGCCAATATTTCGTATAATGAGTAGGCCATCCGCTAGCAAAGGTATGGAGTTTCCGACACCCCTACCCCCTTTAGTAGAACACAAGATAAAGCAAGCTCAGACCGAACTTCAAAAGTTTAGTGCGGGTAAAAATAAAAACAAAATGACTGCACATGTTACGCTGTCAAATAAAGATGATGACTCACTGCCTATTTCTTTATATGATCCTAAAGTTTTATACATGACGCAGCAAATGGGATATGACGCCCTTACCAGGCCATCTCTATGTGATGGCCAAGGGCAGCTCGCACCATTCGAGAAAATATTGTCTCAAGCATAGCTCGAAGCGTTGCAGCAAGATAAGAAGTTAAAAGAGAAGAAATATGGACTTGGTTATCAGGTTTGCATGACCTCAGCCAAGCTCGTGGACGCAACGATGGCATCTCCACAAATGGAGGATGGGAATCAACCCACCATCGATGAATTGGAAGAAATAGATATTGGAACACCTGATAATCATCGCCCAATTTTTATTAGCAAGCACATGTCCGAAGAAAATAAGAAAAAATAACATGATTTTCTTTCAGCTAACAAGGACGTGTTTGCTTGGTCTTATGAAGAAATGCCAGGCTTAAGCCCTACTGTTGCTGTCCATCGGCTAGCTGTGCAGGAGGATATCCCCCCGGTCAAGCAGCCGCAGAGAAGGTTCCGACCAGAGCTCCTCCCAAAAATTGAGGCCGAGGTTGACAAGCTCATAGCTGCCGGGTTTATTAGAGAAGTCAAATACCCTACATGGGTGTCAAATATTGTACCCGTAAGGAAAAAAAATAACCAGATCCGCATATGTGTGGATTTTAGAGATTTAAATAAAGCGTGTCCAAAGGACGACTTCCCCATTCCCATTTCTGAAATTCTGATTGATGCCACTATGGGATATGAAATATTCTCCGTTATGGATGGATTTTCAGGATACAACCAAATAAAAATGGCACCGGAGGACGAGGAGTTAACTGCGTTCCGAACGCCTAAAGGCATATATTGTTATAGAGTTATGCCCTTTGGATTAAAAAACGCCGGCGCTACTTATCAGCGCGCCATGACAGTCGTCTTGGACGGCTTATTATATGAAATTGTCGAATGCTATATAGATGACATCGTCGTGAAATCAAAACGCGAAGAAGATCATCTGCAACATTTAGCCATAGTGTTCGAGCGCCTCCGAAAGCACGAACTCAAAATGAATCCTATGAAATGTGCATTTGGTGTATCATCCGGAAAATTTCTCGGATTTATAGTAACGAAACAAGGAATTCAGATCGACCCAACAAAAATACAAGCAATAGTGAAAATGCCACCACCCGTGAACCTACATAAGCTAAAAAGTCTTCAGGGTCACTTAGCGTACATTAGGCGTTTTATCTCGAATTTATCAGGGAAATGCAAACCTTTTTCCCGCCTAATGAAAAAAGGAGTTCCATTTCAGTGGGATCAAGCGTGTCAAAATGCATTCCAAGATATTAAAAGATACTTAATTAATCCCCCAGTTTTAAGTGCTCCAGTTAAAGGGCGGCCACTCATACTATACACGGCTGCGATGCCTACCTCCCTAGGTGCACTGTTGGCACAAAATAATGATGAGGGAAAAGATACATCATTATATTATCTCAGCCGCACATTAGTGGGGGCAGAATGCAATTATTCAGACATGGAAAAATTATGTCTAGCGCTTTTCTTCGCAGCACAAAAACTTCGGCACTATATGCTAGAACACACCGTACACCTCGTGCCGAGGGCAGACCCACTCCGATATATATTGAGTAAAATGGTCCTCTCGGGAAGATTAGCTAAATGGCCGATGTTTTTGTCACAATTTGACATTACATTCATCCCACAAAAGTCAATAAAAGGACAAGCCTTAGCAAACTTCCTCGCTGCACATCCAATTCCGGATGAGTTCCCCATTGATGGCGACTTACCTGACGAGGAAGTATTCGCAACCTCAATTCTTAACCCATCGTGGAAAATGTATTTTGACGGCACGTGTCGCCGGTCGGGGGCAGGCGCGGGTGTGGTTTTTGTCACACCCGATGAAAATATAATTCCATATTCGTTCACTCTAACGACGGCAGTATCTAATAATGCTGCTGAATATGAGGCACTGATAATCGGTCTCGAGATAGCCTTGAATATGCGGCTAGACACACTCTCTATATATGGTGATTCACAACTGATAGTCAACCAGCTTGCTGGAACATACGCAGTAAAAAAGGAAGGTTTAATGCCTTATTTCACGAGAGCAGAACAACTCATGGCCATGTTCGCGAATCTAAATATCGAACATGTTGTCAGAAGTCAGAATGAGAGAGCTGACGCTCTAGCCAGCTTAGCTGCTAGCATGTCAGTCAATTCTTATCAAACAATGGACATTCAAGTTGTCCAAAGCTCTCATTAACTTAGCCAATTGTTGCATAGCGGGTTTGCTAAAGCTCTTAAGCACATCATCTAATTCATTATCACTTTCCTCATCACTAGAATCAACATCAAGAGAGGTGTGAGAGGGCTTTTGAGTCATCACCTTGTGGCCTTGGGCCATGAAACAAGAGTAGTGGTAGGAGTCATCGTCGTCATCACTCAAGTTGTTGAAGAGACGCTCCTTGCTTGAAGAAGATGACTTGAAGGCGACGGTAGCAACACCACCTTCTCCTTCAACCTTGTCTTTCGGCTTGGGCTTGGGCTTGACCTCGGGATCTTCTTCATCTCCGGAGTACCACACCTCCGTCATGTGTGCCTCCGCCACATGATCATGCTCCGGCTTCTTCTTGCCTCCCATAGCCTTAGCTTCATTTGACTTGGGACAATCGGCAATGAAGTGGCCATATTCGCCACAATTGAAACAAGCTCTCTTTGATTGCCTCTTTCCCTTGTTATCATCCTTCCTCCCTTTGCCATAGCCACTCTTGCGAAGAAAGTGCTTGAATCTCTTGACAATAAAAGCCATTTCTTCATCTTCACTTTCTTCACTAATCCAGTTTTAGTTGTTAACCACCATAGTCTAGTTTATCCAAAAGTTCTAGGTTGGAACTAAGCATGACTAAGCATTTACCTAAAGCAACTAGTCAGTCCATCATGTAGGGTACTAGACTAGTCAAGTTATAATTTTACTAAGGTTCACAACGATCATGGATATCAAATCAACATCATGGCCATAACAAAGAGCATAGGAATAACTAATAAAACAATATTAATAATGAACGGTATAATTTATAAATCAATGCAGTATAAGTAAAACAACATAATTTTCACAATATGGGATTCAACATGTTCAAGGTAGATATGACTTGCCTTGATCGCTCACAAAGTCTTCAATGTCAACGGCGATGAACAGCTGATCTTCCGGAACGGCGGGATCTACACGACCAACGCGAAGAAATACAAAAAGGCTAATAAAAACCACATGAACAGAAGCAGCAAAGCACATAAATGGGTTCTACTTATTTTTAGGAGAAATTAAAGATTTGAACGGGTCGATTCCGAGTTCAAACGGTCAAGATATGGCCATTTGAAGTTTAGGTGCTGTTTAAATGGAAATTTGCAATTTTGTGAATTATTTTTCTAAAGGAAATTGATTTATTGCACAGAGAAGAGAGAGAGGGGGTCCACAGGCGGGTCCCACTTGGCAGCCGCTCGGTACACGGCGGCTCACGGCGCACAAGCACGGCCGGGAAGGAGAAGCACCCGAGCCAGGCGGCACGCCGGCGACGGCCAACGGCGCGGCGACGGTGCGACGGAGCACGGGAAGAGGAAAAACGGAAAGGGGAGGAGGCGACGGTTCTCACCGAGCAGACGCGGCGGCGAGAGGTCGACGGTGTTGCCGGCGGTGAGGAAGAAACGGCGAGAAGCTTCGGGTCGTCGTTGTCGTTGTCATTCCCGCGGTCCTCGTGCTCGACGGAGGGGTGGACGGGGAAGAGGAGGAAGCGGCGAAGCGGATGGTGGCGACGCCGGGCTCCGATGAGGTTCCGACCACTGGCGAGGGGCAGCCGGAGTTGCGACGGCGGCGACACAAGAAGAGAGCGGCGCGGCGGCCGCAAAGAGAGGAGAGGGAGAGGGTGGCGGTGTGAGGGGAGAGAGGAGGGAGTCGGGGGTCCCTTTTATAGGCCGGAGGGGAGGGATAAGGACGCCGGGGAGGGAGATCGACGCCGGCCATGGTGGATCTCACCATTGATGAGCATCATCAAAATCCACCACGAATAATGCGGGATTAAGTGGGAAATTATGGGAGAATTGGAGAGGATGAGGTGGGAATTAATTCCCCTCAATTAATTTGATGAAACGGCGAGTGGAGGAGGTGAATCAGAAGTGGACATGTGGTAGGTTCAGCCGGAGAGGAGAGAGAGGGCTGGAGGTTAGGGATGACGGGTGGGACCCACCTGTCATCGAGAGAGAGCACACCTGTCTCTGACTGGGCGCGCGGAGAACGCAAAATAGACTTAGGCCGAGGGAGAAGGAAGAGCTGGGCCGGCCCAAGGAGAGGGAGGGAGAGAGGGAAGGAGAGGGGTGGCCGGGCTGAGCCGAGAGAGGGAGAGATGGGCTGGAAACAGCCTAACTGGAGGAAGAGGATTTCTTTTAGCTTTTCTTTTTTATAAAATTATTTAATTGTTTTTGTTGCCTTATAATTATTTAGAATGCTCTGAAAATTCAAGTAAAAATTGGTTAAACATTTTGAAGCATGGGGAATTTATTAAAAATACCCACAAGCCAATTTGACATAAATCTTGGTGAATTTTAATTGTTGGAGGCTCTTTTAGGCTTTTAAAATTTCTAGAAATGCATTAAAGCACGATTTAAATTTAGGGCGATTTTCAGGGCGTTACAGTACATAGCAAAAGATGACAAAATATCGACAAATCCCTACTTATGGCACTGTTTGATAGGTGGAGGCCAGAGACACATACATTCCATCTACCGTGCGAAGAAATAACCATAACCTTGCAGGATGTGTCTATGCTCACGGGGTTGCCCATAGCCGGACAAGCAATTGTACTTTCAGACCCTCCGGAAGATTGGAGAGATGATATTGCATCACGCTATGCCTGTATTTCGCCATCTTACTCTACCGGTGATACAGACGATGATGAGGACGAAATTTTTGTCTCTGATAAAGAAACTCATGGCCCCGCATTAAAGTGATTGTCACGGTTTGAGGTAATTGATTATTTTTAATGAAGGCATATTCTATTCACATTCACATATCTCACAACAAATTGTAATTTCGTTAGGTGCGATATATGCCCGACAATGTCCAGGAGTACCAACTGACGTTGTACCTAGAGGCTTATCTCCTTTGCTGTTTGGTAGGGTGATTTTCACCGGCTCACACGGGAACACTGTGGACGCCAGGCTAATCCCACTTGCCCGCCAAATTGCTAAAAGTAATGTACCGCCATTAGCATAGTTTAGCTAGGGATCAGCCGTCCTTGCAGCCACATAGCGCGGATTATGCGACGGTTCTATTAAGACCGGACAAAGCCAGGCGATTTTCACGGGGTGTCCCCTTTTGGTCATGTTGTGATTGTACGAGCACTTCTCGTTCGGACGTCCATATATGAGCGTGGCCGTGGCCCACCAGGACGATTACACTGACGTAGTTGACGATCGTCCTACCTTCGGTACTCGTTCGTGCTACGGACCGGTACGTATGCATGCATTAAAGGAATAATTATGTCAATTCTATGATATTGCATAACTAAATCTTCAATCTCCCATCGTGTAGCCACAATGGGCGAGAATCCAGGTGCACAATGTGTACAAGTACTTCACCGAGGCGTTTGAAAGCCTTAGGGAAAACGAAGTTCGGTAGACTCCGTACACGAACGAAGAGGCCATTTTGCGTGCACCAAATGGAATTAGCATCTTATGTTACCGTGATGAAGCATACTAGATAACACGAAAGATGCTGGTGTACAACATATTCGTCGAGGGGTATAATGTTCAAAGGGTAATGCGTCAGATGGGACCGTACTAGCAAGTCCCAGTTCCTGTTGGACTTTTGCGTCCACCAAATGTGCACACGTATGTTGTTATTTTACATCACTCTCAATTTTGTGTTCTCCAACATTGTCAGATATACTCCCTCCATCTATTTTTTATAGTCATATTTCCTAATCTGAAAAAATTATTTTTGATAGGCATATTTCAATCCAACAACCTATCCTCTTAATGACTTTTTCGGATTTAATGCATGACTTTCCATTTTTCTACACAAGATTGGCTACATGGGCATCGAGAAATGTAAATATTAATGAATCGCTTGTTTACGAGGAATGACTAGTAGTATGTTTAAATAGATGATAAGTAGAATTACTTATTCTTGGTCTGTGTGTCAAGATAAAATATGACTAACAAAAGTAGATGGAGGGAGTAACTAACAGTGTATTTAACCTATTTTTGTTACAGCAAAAAGAGGCAAGATGATAACAGGTATCGTCGATCTATACACTCAAGGATGACCCCATGGATAGAGACGTGGTTGCAGGCCTTGACTAATGTCGTTCAGGGGACCAGGGCATACAACCACAACATTACGAACAATACATGGCCTGGTACTCATTGCAGAATCGCATCCGGCTGCTTCCACCCCAGGATACTGACAAGCGAGGACCACCCACTATTGGCCAAATATATGATATGCAGCTAGCACCCCCGGCTCACTTGACGGTACTACTTGCATTGAAAGATTTTGTTGCATCGATGTGTCATTATTCAAGGGGTTGCACTTTCTAACCTTGTTGATATCTTCCTTGCAGTCCGACATTGCAGGGGAATTAGTAAAGGAGGCGAAAACTTTGTGGGAGAAGCTTAGAGATGGTATCTCGTGTACTAACCAGGAAGTTATGGCCGCAGTCGACTACCTCCGTAGAAAAGGTAAGAGAATCATGCGGCTCGCGTCGTGCCGACATTAATCGGACAACTATACTCCGGCAACATCAAGAAGGACGTTCGAACCAATGCCGGAGCGTCCCTCTACCTCAACCCGCCCTTCAGCCTCCGCATGACCATCCAGTGATGGTCGGGCTGAAGGAAGGTCCACTTCATTTCGTGAGGCACCCACTATTCTGACTATCCCCGAAATCTCGGAAATCTCGGAACGCCTAGGTGGCTTCGGTTCAACTCAAGGTAAAATACATTCTTACAAAATGACAAAATAAGTGACATTTCTATTATAGACTAATTTATTCGTTTGCAGCACAACCGAAACGGGTACCCCCACATAGCTCAACGCCCATCACCTCTCAATGGCAGAGTGGGTTTGCGTCGTTTGCTGGTACGGGATAGCTCATCAATATGCTGATTTTTTCACAATTGTTTCTTCAAAATGACTAAATGATGTTTTCCAATTGATGACAGAGGGAGCGCGAATGGTCCGTCCCGTGCCTCAAATGCCTCTTGCAAGGCCACATATGATTCCTCAGATGGCTCCCGATGTGGCAACCTCACACTGGCAAGGAGGATTTGCACCATTCGCAGGTCCGGCTCCATTCAGTAACATGTTGTCACGCATATGTCCACTTGCAACTTTACTTGTGCATTTACAGGGACTAGCCAAGGTATCCCTACATACCCCAAGTGTCTGCGGCACCTATCGGTCAAGGAGGGTTTACGTCATTAGGTGGTGAGTCTTGACTTACATGTAATTTCACAATTTCATTATTTCAATTAATTAATTTTTCATGTATACGAATCTTAATTACTATTTACTTGCTGATATTTACAAAGCCTACTCAGTCAGTTCCACTGCATGCACCAACATATGGCACCAACCCATGACAAGGACAATTCATGGATTACAGTGGCACGCACATAGCCATCGTTCTTCATACACATATATTGATGGCACTTTCCTACCATACATGACTCCCACTTCAACTTAAGACAATAACTTTGTACTACATTTAATATGGATGCAAGGTACGTCGTTTGGTGCTGGAGTACAGGGTTATATGGACTTGTTGCAACAAGGTAATTGGCTATTTGGTCAATATTCCTCGCATCCTAATGAAATTCTATATATGCAAGCACCATCAACAGGTTTAGATTTTTTAGTTTATGTTATTGTTGTCTGCTCCAACTTTAACAATTTCATTGATATCTACACTGTTTGTAGGGTCGTATTGCCCTGAACTAATGTCAGGGTTTAGGCCGTACACAGCATCGTACGGCGACATATCCAGCTTCGATGGAGGGTCGTCATCGGTACCCGATGAGCTTCGGGCTTCGCAAACTAATGAAGCGCCCCAGGCGACACAGCCCACACAACCAGAGGTTGGCGATTTACAAGGAAATGACAATGACCCGCATAGATCTAACCATGAGCACCTTGAGCCCAACCGTTTGTCACTCTCAGGCCCTCGACATGCCGCAGTAGCAAGGAAAAAGACTAAAAAAAGCGAGCTACAACATCTAGAACTATGACTGACCATGATGATGAGTAGTAGTGAACATTATATCTTTGAACATTATTCTTCATGTTATGCACGATGTTTCTTAGTTCAGAAATATATCATATTTTTACGTAGGCAGTTAACACATATGATTTTTTTAACTAATAATTTTCCGTAGGATAGTTAACACAAATAATAGTCTCACTAATTAAATTAAAAGTGCAGTTTCAATGTTACTCGTGCGGTTCAAATTGGATAATACTTTTATTTTATACTACTATGACTTAAATTACATACTAATTTCATTTAACAGAGATGCAATCATACGCGTCTAAAATGGCCTCCTCTCTTTCCAATCATTTATAAATTTCACAGAGAAGCAATCATACGTGACAACTATATCTCTTCTTCATAAACGTTCTGCTGGTTCCAACTGCGTGTTGCATATTCTTAGGCCCGATCTTGAGGCAGGAACTGAGTAGTTGGTGAACTCGCTCTATGTTGTTCGTTCACTTGCTACACGGTTCCTGTCCCAAGATCGAGTCCGTTAATATGCAAAGGTGATTTTCTCTGGTGAATATGACATATTCTAAATTCATATTCTTTGTGAACTTTGCAAAAATTGCTCCCGAATGATCTCTCTACTCCTATATATATTTTTAATAAATATATATTCAATTTTTATTTTTCTATAGGTAATATATTGTTTCTTTCCTCTCTGTATCTGTAATACACTACAAGGTTTTTGGGCTCATGCCACGAAATTTGGTGCAACAACGTGATTTTCGTTGCAATAATTCTTAGGTATAGCAACAAACACCGGCAATCGTTGCAACTAACAAGGTTCTATCGCAACAATATTTCGTCATTGCTATAGTATAACGATTCGTGGCAATAGATGATATTGACGGTGCCACCTGCAGGTTGTTCATGGGCCTTTGTATTGTTAAACTTTAACTTTCCATCATTATGGCCCAGGTCAGAGTCAGCACATACATAATTATTTTGGCCCAACTAGCTGAGCTGTACATGAACTAAATTCGTGTAAAAAAAACTGGTATGTGGAAACCCTACCCTGATCGATAAAAAGTAACTGTATTAGTTTTTCATCTTCAAAGAACTGTACATTCCCCTTATACCATTTTAACCTTCACCATTGACTAGCTTATATAGTCACACATTCGTGTGACTATAACCTTCCTCTCTACTGAATGTTTTTGCATGTCATTTGTACTAATTAGCTTTGATTTTTTTCTTAAATATTGAAATGACAAATATTACTATAAATAGACATGATCAAAATCATGGTAAATTATAGTGAGTCTATGACTACGCTCTCTAGCACAGACGTGGATTTGCGATTTATAAATATAAGTTGAGTGTTCATCTATTTAAATAGATACATATATGCAATTGTCATAATGAATCAAAAAATATTCAAACATGATAATAGTAAGTAGAAGAAGTAAGCGTTTTACATTTTCACCACAGTAAAAGGACATGTAATAGTTAGGCGTTTCAATAGTCATGATTGAGGTAATATCTTGATGACAAAAAGGAGGCAATGTGTTTGAAATGGAGCCTGCCAAAAAAAAACGCATGATTTGCTATTTCTAACATATTTTTTTTCAATGTGAATGTCCAACCAGACTTGAAACTGGAAACAAAAAACAGAATGGAAAAACAGAAAGGGAAAACCAATATCTGAATTAATCCTGAATTGGTGGAAAAATTCAATGATGCGCAGTCGACTCGCTGCTTCCCGTGCTTCTTGTAGGTGATTCCCCACATAACACATAAGCTCACACATTAGCCAATATTTAGTCAATTGTTCAGTTGCACTCATATATTTGTCAGATAATGGCTAAAGATCATGCATGTTTCTGCAAGGATTTAGTACCTCCTCTGAGTCATCTTGCATTCATGTATAGATTAATTATCCTGAAACCTTGGAGAAGTAAAGAGACAATAGGATGCGATGTCAATCAGAAGAACAAAAATGCAGCAAACTCATGATGATCAACTGAAGAACGTTCTTACCATGAAAAGTGTAATAAAGCAATTGCTCATACATCAGAATTTCTCAAGTCATAGTAAGGATACTTCCCTCGAGTAGAACACTCAGAGTTCCACCTTGAGATATGTCCACACCAAAGTTTTTTTTTTTTTTTTTTTTTTTTTTGTGTGCGTGTGGAAAAAGGGACAAAATCCAAGATCAAGCTCAAAGCTCTGGCTGGAATCATCATCATTCAGGTGAAAGCTAGGCAAGATTGTTTGTCGGCATAGTTACTTAATGGTGTAGTTCTGAGTTCCGCATTTCAATTTAATTATGTGAGTACACTTAATGGCTGACAAATATTGTAGTTTGAAAAAGTTTAGTAAGATACATGAACACTACAGCTGGTAGGGTATTCTGTCAACAGAAACATCATGGAAGTATTAGTTAGTTACATTCCATAATATGGAACTGCAAGTGTAAGGAATCAATAAGATGATCAATACTGATTTTTGACTAATTGATACTCTGCAAAAGAAAATCTGAAACACGAACATGATTTCCTTTTTGGATTTCAGCCACCACCCAGTTGTGTCAAATAGATCAGGTAGAAACATTGGGCATTAATTTGGAGTATTTAAAATTACTGAACATTCAGTTTCTGTTCACAGAAATCAAGTTCTAATTTGTTCTACAGTGTATAATCTGTTCTAAATCTTCCATCGCACTGGTAAAAAATAATCAGCGAAGTGTTTTTGTTTTTGTTGATGTTTTCAGGTCCATTGAAAAGAAACAAAATAAATTCAGTAGAACGCCTAATTTACATGACTTGCATTGAGAAGCTCAATACCTTGCTGAATTAAACTTTAGAAAAACTATGCAATTTTTATATAAAATTGTATCCAATGAGTATGATCTTTCTTGCATCTTAAAACGTCTTAGGCTTAGAAACGTTTTTTTTATTTCCAATCATTATTAGGCTAATAGTGGGAGCAATAAGGGAATATAAAAGATGAATGATATGCTCTTAGTGCTTCCACTATGTGATGCTTATCTTGAAGGAGACCAAGGGCTGGTAGCAGAATGATGAAAGTTGTGCTATGAGGCAGATGGATGATCCAGAATGTCCTGTCAACTACTACATGCGACAATATGAAATCCCTTTCGCTAGAGCAAGCAACACATAACATCTCATTTGAGAATGTACAATTTACAGATCTGCATACATTCAATATATCTTCTTGAAACTATTCCTGAAACTGAACCACAATTCAATTCTGTTTATCTAGGTACCCAATAGGAAATAATAATGCTTAGAAATATCAGTTATGAAGTAAAAGTGCTTGTCTTTTCTTCCCTGTAAAGTTCTTCTTCCCTTTTACTTTATCCCTATCCTGCTTCTACCAATGATCTAAGGATCATACCTATTGCACTCACTGAACTCAAAATATATATCATACTTACAGTCTTTGTAGATTGGGAAGGCCAGAGAAACTTCCAGGAATGGATCCGTTTAGAAGATTGTGAGAAAGATCTCTGCAAAAATTGTATAAGCATGCATATAAACTAAAACTGCAAGTCTGTGCAATCAGAATGATCAAAAAAGATAGCTTGGTCGCCAAATGCTTAGTAAAATTGAATAAACAAAAGATAACACAAGTTGTTAGTAAAGGATCTATTATTATACATCGTGCTTATGTTGCTTGCTGGTCGGCCAGATGGTAAACCCCTCAACTGATTCCAACTAAGATCTCTGAACATAAATAAGGCAAGGATCAGAGCTGCCACACACAAATTTGTTTCTGCTAACTACGGAAATAGAATTTTCTGCTCCTGAGAAAGTGAGGTTGCAGTCTTGAAATTCGTCACATACAAATAGCCAAGTTGGGCTATTCCACTGACATCAGGGACAGGTCCTTCCAAGCTGCAGTTCCTCAAACTCCTGATGAAGACCATATGAAATAGATTTAGCCTCTAAGTTTCATAATTACCGAGTGTAGATTCTGTAGAAGTCTGAGTTAAACCTATATTCTTGATATAGAACTTCACCACTTGATTTGCAAGACATTCAAAACGCAACCCTCCTAAAATTCATTTCAGCACTACAGTAAGAGGTGGAATTGCAGACAGCAGTAAGAAATACTTACAATTTCAAAAGTGTGGTGATATTGGCATAAGATGAAGGAATTGAGGTTCCTGAGAAATTATTGTTGTCAAGCTGGCTGAAATTGTTTTGAACAGATATAATTAGAAAGGGCTTTATATGTGTCGACGTTTGATGTCGCGATTCCGGTATTTGCATAGTATGGGGATCGTTGGTACTAGAATATATATGCGAGATTGTAGTAAAAGAGACAGAGGCGAGGATTTTTATACAGGTTCGGGCCCCTGAATTGTCAGGTAATAACCCTACATCCTGTTGGCCGAAGCCGGTCGTTGCTCTTATTCATCATAATTACACCAGTATAATATTTGGGATAGCCTATCTAACTGTTGTCGACATGACGGTCTGAAGGTCTGACTCGTAGTCGACAACAGGGTAGCCTTCCTCCTCGAATCCGCATCCGGTGAGATCAGAGACAGCGCTATATCTCTCCTGACGGTATCCGTAGGCACCGTAGGGGACTAGCCATGCCTATCTCTGAAGTCGATATCCGGCGTCTTGTCTTGGCGTATCTTAGCTTGTATGTTGTGGCTTCTGTTTTGATCTATTGTTCTGTGTATGTTGATTGTCTCTCCTCTCCTCCTAGGGGGCCTTGTATTTATACCCATAGGTGTCCCCTTGTCCAAGTAGAACTAGGGAAATCAATATGGATACAATCCGAGTAGTCCTTGTCGTTTCCATATAGAACTCTGGTTGTCTTTCCTTATCCGGAACTCCCTCCATATCCGAAGTCAGTTCCCGTATAAGACATGGTATGTGGTGGGTCCTGCCGAGATTTAGTCAACTACTATTAGGTATGTGGTATCCATAACCCTGACAGTAGCCCCGACTTCAATGCAAATGAACAAATTCATATTCTCAACCGCAGACCTTGGAATAATTGCTATCAAGCTCACGTGACCCGTTCTCGGTGAGTTCAGAGATAACGTTAGACTTCCCTTATCAGCCTCAAGCGGGCACCTATAGGGTTTGTTTGAGTCAATCTCCGACGTCAACCAAGAAGGTACAGAGCATACGACTAAGTCTCCCGTCTTGCTGTAATCGAGAATTTGGATTGAAGTCAAGAAATTTTATCTCGGCGGGTACACCATCTTTTCATTCCGTATTCCTTGTCGAGATCCACGAACCGTTCTCGAGCGATCAAGAAGGCGCAAAGACTGCGACGATGCCTTGTCAACATTTGTCGTACTCGCCTTAGTCGATCTTGGTGTAGAACCATAGAGACATGGAGTTCTCGATAATGTCAAATAGAATTTTCCTGAAATCAATACTCAGAAAAGAATATTAGATAGAAATAGCCTCCGAGCGAACGCTCAAAGGGTGACATGTTATAATATGTATGGAAAACTAAAAATAAATTAAATTTATAAACCAATGTTTTGTGTATGAGTGTCTTCTCTTTTACCGACTTTGATCAGTCAGTTTGTTGAGTCATACACTCTCCCTAGCCCCCAGCCTTGTTGTCGGAGAATTGTTCTCGGAGAATAAGGCTCTTGGACCCTTGACCTGCCTTGGTTGAAAAAGCACTGACCCTAGCCCCCAGCCGTGAAGTTGGAAAACTCAATTTCCGATTACACAGCTTGGTTAATACGCACGGCGAGAACTCTTACATGACCAGATCTTACATGGTCGTTTGTCTCTACATGATCCGACAAGGCCTTATCCGCTCTGGGCGTCCCCAGCCAAAGTTCCTTTAGGTTCCTCAGAGGCCTTGTCAGGACAGCGTAAAGGGATATGAGGATAGGTTTCAACTCTAGGTGTCGTCGTGGTAAGGGATCTCTGGGTAAAACAGTTGGCAATATTGTGTACCTGATATCAACTTTGTTGGAGTAGAGGTAATGGGAGGATTGCTACACCGCTGGTCGAAAACCAGTTGTAGCCCCAACTCGACCACTTAAAGTAAAGGTAGTGGGAGAATAGCTACACCACTGGTCGAGGACCGGGTAGTAGTCGTAACATGACCACTTGAAGTGGAACTAGTGGGAGAATCGCTACACCGCTGGTTGAGACCCAAGTGTAGCCTTAACTCGACCACCTAAAGTGGAAGTAGTGGGCGAATCGCTACACCGCTGGTCGAGGACCAGGTAGTAGTCGTAACTCGACCACTTAAAGTGGAAATAGTGGGAGAATTGCTACACTGCTGGTCGAGGACCAGGTAGTAGTCGTAACTCAACCACTAGAAGTAAATGTATGAGAGATCGCTACGGTTGACTGGTTGAGAACCAGTGAGTAGGTGTCTCTCGACCATTTGAAGTTGGTACGAGGGCCGCTATGCTGCCGGTCAAAGACCAGTCGTAGCTGTCCCTCAACCATCTGAAGTCATCTGAAGTCGTGGTGCGAGGACCACTATGCTATTGGCGTAGTCGTAACTCGACTATCTGAAGTTAAGGCGCGAGAGATTGCTACGATTTACTGGTTCGAGAACCAGCAAGTAGAATTATCTCTTGAACGCCAATGGAAGTTGCGGTGCGAGAGATTGCTACGGTTTACTGGTTCGAGAACCAGCGAGCGAGTAGAATTATCTCTCGAACGCCAATGGAAGTTGCGGTGCAAGAGATTGCTACGGTTTACTGGTTCGAGAACCAGCGAGCGAGTAGAATTATCTCTCGAACGCCAATAGAAGTTGCGGTGCGAGAGATTGCTACGGTTTATGTAACATCCCGGGTATTTAGCTATAGTCTTAGTCATGCTAATGACTTGGTCACATTGGCTGAGAGCGGTGTTGATTGAGCCACGATACTGGCTAGGACCTATAAATATATTGATTGTTGTTTTATTCTAGATATTAAATGGTTTCTCGATTGTTTCCTTATCATTTATTTATTTAGTCATATCCATATGCATCATTGATTTATTCTTAGTTAGACTAAACCTGGTGAGGAGTGGGATAATTTAGTTTTGGTTAAACTATAGTGTAGATTAGTCGCTACGAAGCGAGGTACACATATGCACAGTAGAATCACAGTTCTTTATTTACAGTTTACCACTACAGGTCTGCATACATACATGCATATAATTGTACACTAGAAATTTTACAGTATGCATTCTATATATTGTGCATATACATGGTGATTATAGATATCATATCATAAACTGAACCATCTCAGTCAAAGATTCAATAATTATTTATTTTTCAGAAAAACTCTTGAGTTCTAGGGCAATTGCATATCAGTCCCTAAATTCATAGTAATCTTAAATTTTACTAACTTGTGGGACTCAAGTGCAAAAGCACTAAACATGTCAGGCTTTACAAAATTTCTACTGATAGTAAATATAGCTTGAGATTATCACACCAAACCAGCTTTGTTGAGGTGGCAGCAAGCCCTTATCCAACCGGCATGCAAGCAGGTGAGTCACCTTCACAAAGGAAAAAAATTAACCCATATATCAACCCAGCTACTAGAGAACCAGTCTTGGTTATATCGGTTGGAAACCAATCTCAAGCAGCAGCCATAGTAAAATACTCCTCAGTCGCAGGAACAACCAACCACAGAATCAAGCAGTAGTAGCCAGCAGTTCGGTTGAAAAACCAGCTCAAATTAGAGAGAAATAGCAGAGAGAAGTAGCTAATAGTCTAGCACCACAATCACACCGTATCTCAATAGTAGCAGCCATAGAACAAAAATCGGTGAGAGAGAGTAAGAGGAGAAGCCACCAGCAGCAGCTCAAACAAGATGGAGCAGAAATCAAGCAAGAGGATCAACTCCAGGAGGAGCAAGGGAAGTAGCAGATCCAGATACCAATCAAGATTTTCACATACCTTACCGTATAAATCATAGCAGCAAGAAGATGCTGAAATGAGACATCAGAGAGACCAACCTGAAGAAGGAGCAAGTGGTGATCTAGCAGTCCAGCTCAGGAAGATGAAGGAAATGCCCAAATACCCTTAGTTTCTGGAGGAGCAGCTGGTGCCTGAGCAAGGAGGAGAAATATTCAATTGTTCTAGTTCCAATAAGGGAGTGAAGTTACAGTCCCAGCAGGAGAAGTGGTAGAACCAGAGAGGGAGAAACCACACAATCTTCACAGCCACACCAGAGTCATTAACAAGGTAATCCTGAAATAAGAATGATAGGGAAATCACATCATGGCATGATTCTTGGTTGATGCATATATTAGTATGTTTAGGAGTTGTGTGCATGCACTTAGTTATATCCATTAAACCTGAAAAATGAACCTAAGTAGATGGCAGCCATGTTGATCTGTGCATATACTAGTACTAGATGTTGGGGTTATATTACTGAATATGCATCCTTAGTTCAATAAGGTAAAGTTTTTTTGAGTAGTTGGACAGGATAATATCATCCTAAATTTAGTGGATTCTCAGAAGGATAATTCAAGTACAGATCGGTTATCTCATTTCATAGTTAGCAACAAGAATTATTCCAGATGAGTTATAAATGCATTTCAGTTAAGGGTTTGCATATGTGCATAGTTCTTGAAATCAGGATTCATGATAGACCCTATAGTAGGAACCTTGATTACATAAACAATTAGAACTAATTATAACCTGACTGAATTTGACCTTATGAATATAGCAGAAGTTCAGGAGGCACTGGTATTTCAGATTAAAATATAAAAGATTAGGTAGCAGCAGGTTTTAGTAAAAAGAATAGAATTGAGCAATTAAGGATAGCATGTGAAATTAGTAGATTATGAATCTGGGTTTGCATATGTATCTAGTTCCTTACTACAAAATTCAGAAAAGACATCATAGGATGAATCTGGATGTACATTTAAGCATGTATAGTGTTAAGTAATAATAGTTGTACTAAATCGTAAAGACTTAACAGAACATGCAAGTTTCTTTACCAGATCATTATGTGCAGGAGAGTAAATGTTAGAGCATAGTCTCATAATAAAACCATTATAAATAATAGTTGACCAGTAGTCTAATTTATCAACAACTCTAATCTAATAAATTATGTAGAGATGAAATTCTGGACATATAGACCAGCAGTATATTATTTAGAGAAACAAATTATCATTTATTAACTTCAAGATTCAAGTTTTAGGGATTTTCAGTCCAATAATTCTTAGTATAGATATTGCCATGATTATCAAAGTGTAGAACCATGTAAATTGCTTCATCATTGAATAAGATTTTAGCTAAAGATCTGGTCCTGCTAGTATGTCACTATCTTCAGAAGATTCAGTTAATTCAACATGTATGCATATATAAGGACCAATGATGTTAGTGTGATTTAAATTTCAGTAATTCAATTCATGGGTTTATTCATGTCTGGATTCATTCATCGTGAGCATATAGGCATCATCCATCTTAGCAAGCCAATTTCTCTAGAACCCTAGAACTACTAATTACAATCCATAGCATAGAGTCATCAAGTTGATCATTAGGATTAGTTTACAAGTATCATTAGTGCATTACAACCATAAATCAGTAGTAGATAAGGGGAAGAACACCTTACTAGTACAACACTAGAGATCAGGGAAAAGGAGATAGAAGAGCGAAATTGAAGTGGTAGCAGCGATAGGGGCCAGGGGAAAACTTCCCTAAATCCTTATCTCGCCGGAGTTGGTCGCCGGTTGCATCTTAGGTTGAGGAGGCTGGAGGCTAGGGTTAGCAGAAACGAGCTCATGGGAGCTAGGGGAACCGATTCGCGGCTGCGGGACATCTGCTAGAGGGGTCGCCGGAGTGGGGCGCGGCAGCCGGCGCTAGGGAGAGTGACGGCGTCGCCGGCGCTGCCTAGGAAGCGGCGGCGCTGGAGAGAGCGTGAGGGAGAGAAGAGGAGAACGAGGAAAAAGAGAGAAGAGGAAGAAGGTGGTGTAGTGGACTTTTTTGTTGGGCTTCTACATGTGGGCTGTATGCCTGTATATAGGAGGAATTTTTTTTATTTATAATTTTTTTTATTAAAAGTTTTACAAAAATAATTTTCCATTTTGAAAATTGACGGAAATAGTCGCCTACCGCCCTCTGGGAGGGCGATTTTTAAAAATCGCCCTCCCAGAGGGCGGCGAAAATGACGTGGCAGACGGCCGTTCGCTCTCGGGCGACGGCCGTCAACGAAATTTGCAGGCGGCCCCCTTGCCGCCCTCCGCGAGGGCGATTTTGTACTGTGCGGGGGGCCGCCTGCAAATGGGCGGCGAGGGGGGGCATGGAAATTTGCAGGCGGCCCCCTTGCCGCCCTCCGCGAGGGCGATTTTGCACTGTGCGGGGGCCCGCCTGCAAATGGGCGGCGAGGGGGCATGGAATTTTGCAGGCGGCCCCCTTGCCGCCCTGGGGGAGGGCGATTTTGTACTGTGCTCTATATTTTTTTTATATAAATATCAATAGTTATCAAATCTTTTTATATTGAAAACTATACAAGATTAAAATCTCCAAGATTGGTAAAATACAATTTTATTATTTTTTAGGGCATATTTGGAATGTTACCGTACAAATATTTTGTTAATGCCAAAATATAAGCAAGTTTTGGCACTACCAAATATTTGGTAAGGTAAAATTGCATTTGATCATATTTGGTTTGCTGCCAAAATGTAAAATTGTAGTGAAGAATGTTGTACATAATCTCAATTCTAGATTACGTATTACCAATTAATAGGCTTCCATTTTCGTGTGTGGTGTGGTAGTGGGAAAGAAGATATGAAGAGGTTGCCTTCAGATTGTCAATTATATAGCGTCGTTTTCACTGCAATATATGTGAACTCAATGAGATACATTATTCATTAGATGTGACAAGACGATCACGCGTGGGCGTGATTCACTTTATGTCAACAGGCAGCGCCGAAAGTTGATAGTGATAACTCGAGCTGCCGCTTTTCATGTGTGCTGTTGTGGACTGTGCGCGCTACTGGATATGGCACTACCGTGAAGCGCCGAAAGTGTGTTGTTGTGAGCATAAGTTGTTCAAGCACCATACGAATGAAAAGAACTACGTAGACGAGACAAACACAAGTAGTACTGCAGTAGTAATAGCAAAAGTAGTACTGCTTTACAAGTTTGTAAGCCAAAAGAAACGGTCACATAAGGACTGAAGAGGTAGAACACTACTGACGAGGCCTCTTACCCCTGTCCCTCCTACCCTGCGCCCTAATGTGCCCCTGGGAGTACGTGAGTCGGTCCGGGGGTACGGCACGGCCAACCCGTCCTGCCTGTACAGGTGTGACCTCTGGCTGCTCCTGAGTGTGCGCCTCTGGAGCTCCTCCAAGCTGAGAGGAGCCTAGTACGTCCTGGTGGTCTGCACCGTGCAAGTCGTCGTCGTAGAACTGGCTAGTAGGACCAGTCCTACCGGCGTGAGACGAAGAGGCCCCAGTACCGAAGATCCCGGCTGCAAATCCTGCTGGACAAGGACCATCAGTTTCGTATAGGTATTTAACAGTATTAATAAAAAGTAAAGTACCGTGTGGGCGAGGGATCGACGCTCCGTGAGAGGAAGAGCTGGCGAACGCGCCTGAAGAGGTGGCGAACGCCCCTGCGGAGCTCGCGGAAGCGCCGGTCGTGCCTGCGAACGCGCTCGAAGGCATACGAGGTCCTGCGATGAGGAAACGTGCAGTTAAAACATGGTGACACATTCGTGCAAAAGCTGAAACAAAAATGAACTAATATCTGGGCTGAACTGTACCGTGCGAAACCGGTGCTGTAGGTCGCACTGCTCCGAAGCTAGGGGCGCTCGAAGACAAACGAGGTCCTGCTCCGACGGTAGGACCGCGAGGCCGTGGGTGTACCGGACCAGCTGGAGGTACGACGTCCACGGCGCTGCGACAGGAGAAGACGCGCATGACCGCACGCATCTTCTCCTGCATCCGGTCGAAGGTCGACCTCTGCTCAACGTCAGTCAAGTGCAAACCTCTGTTCAACCTCACCTGGACTGCGGTGATATCGGCACTGATATCCCGTGCCGCATCAGCCTATGCAAGATGGAAATAAAAAATTCAGTAGTTGTCCTATATTATGCAAGATAAATGACATAATTGTTGGAAGTAATACAAATTGGACGTACCGCCACGAAGTAGTCTCGGTCACGGTGCGTGGGATACGCGTCCGTGACAGCGGCAACGTGCGGCTCTGGGGCGTCTGGAGTGAAGGTCACACGCGCACGAGTGCGAGGAAGGTACCAGCGAAGGTAGTCACGGTAGTTCTCCTCCGTGTGTGGGAAGAGCTCGTTGATCACCTCCTCTGTAGCTAACACCCAGTCGTCAACGTACTGCTGTACACGTGGAGCCCAAAGTGCGCCTGCTAGCTGTCCCCGTCGAGTCAACCTGTGAAGAGAGGTAAATTGTATGGCTCGATGATGTAATTATCATAAAAATTTAGAAATGAACAATCCGAACTCACGAGTGGTCGGCAGGGGGGACGGTCGGCTGCACGTTGCCGGGAAACACCTGCCTAAGTCCGAACTGTCTCATCACACGCTGCGATCACACGCTGCGGCCAGTGAGGCTCAACGAAAATGTCGAACACCATCGGCAGGATGGTGAGCCAGTAAGCCTGGTCGCGTGTGCACAAGGACGAAAGTCCTAGCGGTGCTCTCGCAGCGACGGCCTCTTCTGTGTACGGCTCCCAGATGACGTCGCTCGGCTGGAGACGGTCAAACTCGAACACGAAGTCCGGGTAACCACGTCTCACCTGGACGTGAGCGTAACGACGCTGCAATAAACATGATCGGAATTAGACATGTTATGTGAAGGAAAAAAAAAGAAGAGGACTGATAAACTTATAACGCAGCGAAGTTGCACTAACCCCACGTCGACACCAGTAAGTCCCCATCGTGGGACCGTCCTCTGGCCACTGCGCGCTGCGACCAACCCCGTAGGGTGCGCTGTCCACCACTGGTCGCCCTATGGCAAACCTCTCGGCTGCCCAAAGCTGAAGCAACATAGGACAGCCAGCGATGATCGCTCCCGCGTCAGTCTTCGTGCACGCCTCACAGAGGGCACGGTACGTGGCTGCTAGCACGGCAGAACCCCAGCTCCACTGCGGCACGTCCTGTGGCTGAGCATCCGCGATGGACCGTGCGTAGTGGACCAGCCGGAAGTCCACAGCGTGCCCGTGGGTGCTAGTGAACATCACCCACCCGAACAACCACAACAGGTACGCCTCAAGGGAGCGTCGGACCGAGTAATCATCAGCGTCAGGGTGCAGAAGGTCCGCCTACAGTTAAGAATGAAATGTTAGTACAAAACACTGATCCGGTCGCAAATAAGCACGTATGATAATAACAACTTATTTACTTACAGTGAACTGGAGCAACCAAGCCTTGCTAGGCCCGACTGTAGAGTACGGAGGAAGGGTGGTGGTCGGTCCTAGGTGTGGAAGGCGCATCACCTGCTCGAAGCGCGCAGTGATATCCTCCTTCCACCCAAAAACACCGTCGACGGGACCAACTGGTGCTCCCGCCAGCGGTAGCCCGAGCAGGTACGACACGTCCTGCAGTGTCGGAGCCATCTCCCCACAGGGAAGGTGGAACGTGTGCGTCTCAGGTCTCCAGCGGTCTACAAGAGCGGCAAGGAGTGACCGGTCTGCATCCCACCGCTTCGCTGGGTCACGGTCGTCCGCCGCCGCCTCAACAAGCCTACAAAGTGGTAGAAGGCCTGCCGCACGCAACCTGTATAGAGCAAACTTCAAACATAAGTATAAAACAAAGCAAAGTTGAGTTGAAATGTGAACATACGCGTACCAAGGAACGTGACGGAAGGTGCCGAGCTGTGCACCCTCGACTGCTGACAGGAACGAGCGGTGGTTCCTGTCAATCCCACGGTTCAACAGCGCCGGTGTGTCGTACGCCATACCTGCATCAAATAGGTTGATCAGAAACATATAAATAATTAGTTCAACATAAGTAATAAATGTTCATAAGCGAATTACTAACACATATTAAACAAGAGTACAAACAAACAAAAGTGTTTAGTCCGAACACTCATCACGATAACATTATGATACAACACCGAATAGTTCGCAATACTACTAGTACAACAATAGTCGGAGGTACTCATTACAACAAGATTGAATTGAAATTACACGATAGAAGTATTTAGTCCGAACACTCATTACATCATTTTATTTCCTAAATCGAAAGCATTGTTACACCATGGAATCGCCTGCTGCGCGACGACGCCTTGGCCTTGCGCGCCTGCTTGTTGTTCCTTCACCAGGTGGTCGCCTACCATCACTTGCCTGTCCAGATGGACTAGCATCTGCGCCGCTTGGAACTTCTGCATTCTTCGGGCATGTCTTGTAAGTATGGCCGCGCAGATCACACTTGCTGCAGCGTAAAGTCCTCCCACCTGCTTCTGACTCATCCATATCATTTCTGATGCGTCTAGTTTGGCGTCGACCCTTTTTCACCCTAAACTTAGATGGATCTGGAATATAAAAAACTTGGGCACTCAGCGTTGTGTAAGATCCTGAGATCCCGAACCCATATATCTCCTCACTCCATGTATGAAAGATTGCTTCTTTCCTGAAATAATTTGAGACGTACACATTGGGAGATATGCCACAATCACCGGCAGCAGCAAGAACGTGTGAGCAAGGAAGGTGATGAAGCTTCGGCTTCATACAACTGCAGGTACATCCACCATCCGCCTTCAAGAGACATTCCTGCACGGCTTGCTTGCGATAGATACCACGCCTGCTCCTATCAACACACATTATTTCATACCGATGCACTTGTGTGCCTTGAGCAACAACTCTATGTCTCCGTGCCTTTTTGATTTTATCTTCCATGTACTTTGTCACTACGTTGCCAAACACTATGTTGTTATCGGCCATGGACGGACCAATTTTCTTGTATCGATCCCTAAAGTAGGCTTGCGTGCCGTGAAGGATGAATTCAACAATAGCAACCAATGGAA